TCCGAACTTGCATGCACTGCTGCTCGCCCAGATTAGGTCCCCGTGGGCTCCGAAGTCTCCAGCACCCCACTCTTCCAGGATTCGACAGACATAGTCTGGGCCCCCCCTTGGTGAGGAAACTGCTTTTCAATATGGCTGGGGACGATGTAGTTGGAAAACGAAAGAACCCGTGCCTCCAGTTCGCGATCCCGAGCTCTCAGAACATGCATGCTGCCGGTCAGTGCCCCGTCCTGCGCGTTCCTGAAACAGCCGCCGCGACCGGCTCTGACAGTGCGGGCAGCTGTGGCGCCGAGGACTTGACCTTTGCGACGCGAGGGGAGGGGTGCTTTCCGAGCTACCGGGAGGGGATTCTGCCGGGTCCAGCCTCTCCCACCCAATAGCAGCCCGGACAACCCACGCCTCCTGCGCCGCTCACCCCCTTGTCCCCCTCCATTTTGTGCAATGTCCACAGACCCTCAGCCCGAACAAAGCCCCCAGCAACGCTCTCACCAGCTCCTTTGCGAGCTCTTGCCCTCACCTCCCCTAGGCCCAAAGGCTCAGAGCCAACGACAAGCGGTCGAAGGCCCTCCTCAGAGCCCTCCTCTCTCGCCTGACACCAGCCGCCCTCAACCAGCGCCAGGGTACTCCTCTGGGTGCCAGCCCTGCCCTGCCGGTGCCGACCGCCCGTGCGCGGGCCCCTGGCCTCGGGCTGCGGGCGGCGCCGGGGGCCTACATACGAGGCGAACGGGGCCCAGGTGCGGGGCGCAGCGAGGCCCGGGGCTGCTTTCAGGTCCCGGCGGAGACCAGGACGGCCCGGAGCACCGGATTCAGCCGCTCGGGTCCACAGCGTGTCCGGCTCGCTCTCCGCGCCTTCGCTTTCACCCCACCCCTCAGCCTGGAGCTCAGAAAGCGGAAGTATTTGGTAGCGAAAAACACCATTTCTTTTCAGCCCGTCTCAGAACCCCTTTTAGAGAAAATGCTCCTGTCAAGTTTTATTTCCCGTGCAAACCACCTTCCACGCTGCCAAGAATTAAGACCGGGAGAGATTAAATACCCGATTATTCTCTTGGGGTGGCAGGGGCGGGGCGGAGAAGGGGATACCCGCACAAAACATTCGTTTGAATCGGCTTGTCCTCATCAAATAACGCCTGGAGAGGGCCGCGAAGGCCCGCTCGGGCGACGGTGACGTCAGCCTGCAGCTGCGGGGCGCCTCTGCGGCGCGGTCCCCAGCCCTCCAGAGTCCGCCTGGCGCGGGCCTGGGGGGCCAGGGCCTTGACCTAGGCCTGTGGTCCTGCTGCACGCCTCCGTCGGCTCGCCAGCGGTCAGGCGAGGCCGGCTCTGGGAGGGTTTGGGCCTCCATTTTGAGCACAGGGTTCCAAGGGAGCAGGGCCGGCTTTGAGCCTCGCCTCTGTCCCCAACGGACGCGACCTCGGGCGGCTCTGCAAGTCGACAGCGGCGCGTCCGGGATAGGACTCAAGCCTGCACCTGAGGGAGCTCCACGCCGCCGCACGTCCGCGAGCAAAGGTCCGAAGCGGGCAGAGACGCCGTCCTAATTCCTGCCGGGAGGACCCAGCTCTGCAGCGGCGCGACTGAGCCGCAGAAATGGAATCAACTGTGGCAAGGCCTTGTCTGCTTTAGCGGAAGAATTTGTGCCAGCGTCTTTTTTCTTCTCTTTAATTCAAATTAAAAGTAGCAAACACACTTCAGGCATTCGTTGGCGCTAGGTAGATGGGCGAGGATGGAAGCAACCCACCAGAATGAGGGTGTTTTCATAAAGGATGAAGCCGGCTGCTTTACCCGGCGGCCTAGCAAATGAAAACGTATTGTGTGCCTGTCCTAAAACCTAGGCATAAATCCCCCCAGGCCTCTTGGGTAACGCTACATATTTGCTTATGAAAAATGGGATGTCGCGGCACGTTTCTCTGATTCTCCAGGTCTTGGGCTGCTGACACGCATTCGATCAACTTTAAAGGAATGCGCATAAATCAGCAAGCCCCTAGCGTCTCCTCCGTGAGGTCCGCAAATCCGGAAGGGCGCCTCTGAACCCACCGGGTCTGGGCGATAAGCAGTTGGGGGCAGCCTCATCTCCACTCCGAAACGCGGCAATTCTCAGAAAGAAAGAGAGATGCCGCATTTTCACCAAACCCTCCAACTACATGCAGCAGGGTGTATAATCTGCACATATACTATACGGTGAAATCTGTCATTAAACTACACGCACACGCATATATCCTCCTTAGTTGAATTTCGCTGCCTTGTGAATTTTTAAGAAAACATTCCAGTTAGATTGAATTTTTTAAAAAATTACGTGTCTTTCTTGATTTTTTTCTGTTTTCAAAAAGAATTTTTAAAAATGGATGGCTTCAGCTCTGCATCAAACATAACTAGTAGTGAAATGCAAAGTGACATTTTACAATCATCCACTTAAAATACCTTAATAAACTTGACAGTATTAAGAGCAGAGGGAAAAGGAGGTTTTTAAAAAATATCCTGTATTTGCAATTTTTAAAAATGGCAACAAGACCGGCCATTCAATGATTCAAAAATCTGTGCCAATTTAATGGATGAAAAAGGTGTCTTGTTGTTTTCATATTTACAGTTTCTTATTCAGAAAGAGCTTCCCTTTTAAGAAAAAAAAAAAGCTTGAATCAGCTATTCAACAAAACTATCCCAGCGTCTGGCATTATTATTCCTATAAGATGACTGGTGTCCTCTGGATGCGTTTCTTTCTAAATGTTTAGACTAATTGCTGTTTGGGCATAAGGGAGCCATCATAATACATGGTTACTCCAGGTTATCTGGAAGATCCATGTGTGTTTAAAGTCAGAACAGAGTTAGGTAAGACCGACATTATCTACAACCATTCTAGGACAAGGGGGGAAAAAACCTTTGAAATATTGTCTGTCACTAGTTTGAAAAACTGAAGAGAGGAAAAAAGAAAACTACTACTTTACCCAGAGCTCCCGCAGTGGGGATGGCTTGTGTAAGGGGCTACATTCCGTCTGCAGAGCTGCTGTTGGCCTCCTTCCTAGGCTGGAGGCTCAGAATATTTCTTAAATCTAAAGGAAAATATCCCCCGTCAAAAGAAGAGTCCCCTTTGGAGCTATTCATAAACACAGTTTGATCCAGCTTTGAAGGGGATTTTCCACCACTTTAAACATTTTGGGAGAAAGCTGTGACGTTAACTTAATGGCAGCTCATTTAGAAATGGAGTGCTATGAAACTGAGGCGTGGGGAGACTGACCTGGAGCATCATTTTCATTTGATTCCACAAGTGGAGTGAAAATCCTCAGCGCAGCAATATTTGATTGCACTTCGCAAGACCATTCCATATGTATGTTTCAAGACTATGCTGGTTTTGAGACAGATTTAGAGATTCATTCTAATGCTCCATCTATTAAGACCCTCTAAGTGTTCAGGTTGGAGAGGTGTCTGTCAGCCAGGCTGGTGATCAATCAGTATTATTTTCCATTAAACAGTGAACATAGTTCTTAGGTTCACAATTACTCTGACAAAGATAAAATTAACTTCATTTCAAAATGCTTCATCATAAGGCTCCTGGTTCCATCAGCGTTTCAATGCATATGTGCATTGCATGGATTTAACAAAAACACAATTACCCTAGGTGTATGTGAAATATATACATACATATGCATTATTTATGACTCTAAACAGCACTGGATGTGCTGTTAGGGGATCAATAAGTAGTAGATATAATACTTATTATTATAGTTTTGATGGTGGTGGTTAATATTGAATGTGTATGTTTCTCCCACAAATCCAAAGGCAGCTTCACAAGCATCAGTATAAGATTGCACACCACCCAGGAGCAGCACTTGGCTCTCAGATATCCAGAATCTCTCCTTCTCCATCCATATTATGGTCATTTTGCAGATATGATATCTTTAAGCTCTCCATACTGACCTCTTAAGAGGTGAGTTTCTTTGAATGTCTGAAAGATAACTCTAGAGTTAGCAAGGCATTTGAAACTTTTTATTTGTCATATAGATTCCCTATAGCTCTAATTAGGATGGTAGACCACCTTGGAGGGTGAGGGCTAGGAAAATGGTTATTTAAGAACACCTCTTAGACTGTAACAAAAATGTACCACTTTAAAGCAGATCTGCAGAAATCTGATGCAGAGCAAGCCACTGTGAAGACAAATCAAACGTGGCCATTAAAGAAAAGGAGCAAAACTTCATTATGTAAAGTACATTTTGTACCTCAACTCTAGAAGTCACCTTAAATTACAAAATCCTGGGTCATCAGTAATTAATGATACTATATCTGTACAGATTCTACAAATATATATACAAGCACACACAAACACTAATATGCAAATGTATATACATATAAAAATATATTCACATATATACAGGTACATATATAAGTTACATATATTCAAATTTCCTTCATCTGGAGCCAAAAAGAAATGAGTACTAAATCTGAAACAAGGAGTCAAAGAGGTAAGACCTTTTGATTCCCTTGAAGCTGAAGAACTACAAGGAAAGTTGTCAACGCGAGGTGGCGCCCTTGATCTACTAATCCAGCCAAGGCCAATTCATGAGCTGTCAAAAGTCAAGGTCACAAATTGTCTTTTTTCGTCAAGGTCAAGGTTTAAGGCCTTTCCTAGTCCTGCCATTTCAACAAATATCAAAACCTGCCCCTTCAGACACATGCAGACCCAACAGTGTATTTTAAAGTACTACAGCCTAGGCATTGCTGACACTGAACAACTGGTTTTCATTTTACACAAGGAGCCTGGGAATTTATACTATGTCTTCCTCTTTTTTTTTTCTCCCTTCAGAATACCTGACACTTTAGCCTTCTTCAAGCACTTACTTAAATTTTTAAGATTTCAGTTATTAGGGATTTCTCCCTTCGCTTAAAAAATTTGTAGAAAAAAAAGTGAATAATAGAAAAGAAAAGAATGGTCCTTAGTTTGTATAGGACAAACCTGCTCTTTTTCTTTCTGTGTGGTGCACATCTAGCATAGGAAAATAATGAGTATTTCCTTCAGATTTTATTGGCAGTGACTATTTTATTAACATAATTAATACCACTATATCACTATCTACAGGTCTAAGGTTCTCTTAATTACTGTGTTTAATAGAAATATTTGAAAAGCAGGTGCACAAATACATTTTCACAGTGTGCTGAATGTTTTTATTTACAAGACAACATTTCATAGTGAATATAAACAAAAAATGTGCTGGTTGAAATAACTGCTTGATTAAAAATGTGCTGTGAAGATGAATCCCTAAACTTTCTAATGCAGTCTCAGAACACAATAAACAAGGAAAACACATTCATTCCTTAATAGATCAAACTATAGAATGTAAACATCTAAATGTGTTGGGGGAATGGATTTCTGTTCTGAGTTTTCTAAAAAATAAAAAAGGAAAATTATTTACCCAGTAATATGTTTAGTAAATATTGGGAAACACTAATTTAAATAATAAATTGTGTTCAAACCAAAGTCCACCATATTGGGGCGGGACCTCTCAGAAGATCTGAAAAAGCGAATTCTGTGAAGCATTTGATGCTTTAAATATTTTTTAAAAATATATCAAATCCTTTGGAAAGTAAAAGATATTGGGGCAGAAAATACAGTCCAAATGCCACAGAATATGCTTGTTATATGCAATTAAAAATTATTATAGGAAGATCATTCCCAGCCTGGGGTTCCCTTGCAGTCTCAGAGGCTCAGCTGGTTGTATTCACTCCCCAAACAAATGATCCTCGGAAGAGTTTTCTTTCCCTTTCTCCCTTCATAGCAAATAGTCCAAGATCATTATTTCAGTACCTTCTTGTCTTTCCCCTTCTAAATCTATACGTGACGTGTTTTGCAGAATATACAATGTCGGTAGGAATTTCACTAAGATTTACCTGAGCAGTCACTTAACATGCAAAGGGGATGGTGATGGCGACTCAAGGACAAGGAGATGTTTACAACAGCCTCTTGTTTTTGTAACCAACTTTCGGATTATTACCGTATGACATAGTGTCCTCAAATATAACAGCCACATAAATACTTACAAGATTTCAGTAAATGTGTAACTTATCTGAAATTGCGAATTTAGGGGTTGACGATTGACTCTAGAGATTGCCATTTAACGATCTGGTGGGGTTGGCGGCAGAATTGGCAGTCTTTACCTTTTCTTAAAGTTTAAAAATGAGCTGTAGATTCCACCACAGAGAAAGGGATCCCCTTTAGGAAAGCAAAATGCCAGTGTCTCTCTCTTCCCCATTCTTCAATTATTATTAAACATTATATTCATTATCTGGACAAAGCAACGAGTTCTGAAGCATTTCTTCAAGTTACCCTCTTGCTCAACTTTTAATCCATTAGCTAGTGGTCTTCAGTTTGTTGATGACTTTTTTCTCTTTGACTCTCCTATTCTGGAACCAGATTGTAACCTGCCGCTCGGAGAGATTCGTCGTGGCTGATATTCGCCTCCGTTTGTCCTTGGTAATGAATTTGTTTGTAGCGTATTCCCGTTCGAGTTCTTTTAATTGCACCTTGGTGTAAGGGACGCGCTTCTTTCTCCCTCGCCTGTAGGAGCTGGCGTCTGAGGGATGAGAGACCACGTCTGGAAGATAGGGGAATAAGGCAAGTTACATGGGGATCAGACTAGGCCAGGACATAGGCGACAGCTCAATTTCAGCCACCCGCCTTACAGCGCTCGACTACCCTTTGCCACGCGTTGTACATTTGCCAGTCTTCTGCCAAAACCTGGAGGGTTAGTGAGGAGGGTGGTTAGTTCTGCACTAAAATGAAATCATCCAGGACTCCAATGACCACCCCAACCAGGCAACCCTGCCTGCACAATGTGCCGGGTACACTTGATCGCCTGACTCAGCGGCCCACACTTGGCACTGGGGTCAGGGGATACACTTCTATGCCTGGCTTCTCCCTGTATACCCCATACCTCAACAATTGATGCTTCTTACACTGAAGCTAGTCTTGAGAGAATGCATAGGGGCAATTTGGTAAACCGTTTCCAGGTCAATTTTCCATCCTCAAGTCGATGTCAAGGGCCGGGGAGGGCGGGGCGCAGAGGGAGAAGGACGCTAGCCAGAGTCCCCACACGTTTCTTCCCAGCCATACCTCACCCAGGGAAAGCTTGGAGCCAGCCCATCTCAAGGGCAGTGCGGGCAGCGCCAGCCAGCCGGGGTCGGGCTCCCAGGGGTGCAGAGCCCCTAGGGCAGGCCAAGGAGAGAGCAGAGGGGCACCAGGGTGACCCGGGAGAGAGCAAAGGAGAAGCTGGAGCAGAGCCGGAGGACCGGGGCTGAGAAGGGGGGGGCATTTACCGGGCAGAGTGGACTTCCAGAGGTGGGGAGGCTGCGCCTGCTCTTTGGGGCAGTACATTTGGCCGTTCCAGCCGTTGGGCAGCGCCCAGGGCTGGTAGCTTTCCATGGGAAGACCCAGGGGCTCGTGGCGCGATTCGCCGGGGCCCCCGAGGCCGGGCACCACGGGCATATCCAGGTAGCCAGGCACCGGCTGATGGTGGTGGTAAGGCCCGGGCGCGTAGCCCTGGTGGTAGAAGGCGAACTCCTTAGCGCGGGAGCTGAACTCCTCGGCCGCGGGGCCAGCGGTATCCATGTACTTGTCCGCGAAGGCGGCGGCGGCGGCGGCGGCGGCCGAGGAGGGCTGCGCGCACGATTTGATGGCGTTGGGGTGCGGGCCCATGCGGGCGCACGGGTAGTAGCCGCTGCCGAAATAGCCGTAGGGCAGCGCCGCGGGCCCCGACGAGCTCTGCGCCGCCGCCGAACAGGGACTGCACTGCTTGGCGGCCTCGGCGCCCGCCGGGCCCGCTGGGCCGGGGCCTCCAGAGGACGACGCAGCCGCGGCCGCCGCAGCAGCAGCGGCGGCGGCGGCAGCAGCGGCGGCGGCCGACGGAGGCGCCTCCCCGGGCGCGCTATTGTAGGCGGCCGCGGCTCCGGGCGCCAGGGGCGCCGGGTGCGCCATCAGGTTGCGGCATTGGTTGGCCGCGGCCGCGGCGGCCGCAGCGGCCGCCGCTGCCACCGAGAAGTTGCCCCCTGCGGCCGCGGCGGCCGGGTGGGGAAAGCCCCCGCCCCCGGCCCCTGCCGCCGCAGCCGCGGCCGCCGCTGCGGCGGCCGCCGCCGCCCCTTCCATGTTCTTGTTGAGCTCGTCGGCTACCAGGCCACCGCCGTTGTCGTAGAGAAACATGACGGTGGGCTCGATCCAGCGGGGGTGGAGGAGCACGGAGGCTGTCATAGCCCGAGCCGCATGGAGAAGACCCCAGTGGCGCTGTTTTAAAAAGCCCCCAAGAAGTGAAGAGCGCGCGGCGCGGGGCCGGGGCCCGAGCGAGGGGGGCGGAACGCGCCCCGCGGGGTCGCGCCAGGCGGCCGCCCATTGGCCCGGCCCCCCCTTCCCGCTCCGCCCACGGCGTATGCAAAGCGGGCGGCTCCAACCCCGGCTCTGTGCGGCGCACCCCGGCGTCCCCGCCGCCTCCCGCGCCGTCCCCAGCTCCAGCGCCCGGGGCGGCCGCGCACCGTTCACCCTGGGCAGAGGCGGGAGACGCGGGCGGGTGGGGGCAGAGGACCCGGGGAGTGGGTTCACAGCTCCTCTTCCCTTCCCATACCTCAGTGGGTCCCAGAGCAACGTGAAGCGGAAAGGCGACAGGGGTTCCTTGTTGGGCTGCGACCTGAGGCGTGGGTAAGGTCAGGTAAATATGTGGGAGGCTTAGGATGGGGTAGTGGCGAGAACTGGGCATAGTGGCGGGGTGTTTTGGGGGGCTTCTGGAGCTGCTTTCTTTCCAGGTATCCACCCGTCTTCCTGCAGTGAGACCCCAGCATGGACACTAGTGCTTTCGGCTTCCACAGTGTCGCGATGTACCTCTCTTTCCAGGGGAACAGTGGCTGCGCGTTTGCAGATGCGCCTGCCTCATGGTCCCAGGAAAGCTTGGATTGCATTTAGGAGTTCCCTCTACTTCCCTGTCCACTTTGTTGGGCAATTTCATACACTAGCACTTGGGTCCATAGGCTCAGAACGACCCATGGAACACACACCGATACACGTGTACGCTCAAGCGTACCTTGAGTACACACTCACTTATGTATACAGACTGTTCCTTACTCCACCCCAGTAACAATTCTTCCTTGTCCAGAGACTCTGAGATGGAGAGAACAATCTGTGTACACTGCTCTCCTGAGCTCCCACATCTCCACCTGGGCTGGCCTGTTCTGGAAGGAGTTTAAGAGGAAGAGCCCCTGGGTGTTGGTTGGGACTTGAGCCCCTCCGCCGCCGCCTCCCCGAGTCTAATGAGGTTTCATAGAGCCTGGGTAGGAGCTGACTCTCCAGGCACCTGAGCACTCCTATTTCACTCCATTTTGGGACAGGAGAGAAGAGCTCTTTGGGGCTACTTCACACCTTCCTCCCAAGTAGGATTGGAAAGAGCACCGTCTCTAGCCTGCAGAGGGTGCCTAGTCCTCCGCCATCCAAGAACCAGCCGAGAAGCCTTTCCTTCATGCCTGGGAAATGCAAAGATTTCTTGTGGGCTGGAAGAGCCAGGCAGCCACCACGTTTTGGAGAGGGATTCTGGGGGTCCTGTCATTTTGGGGCCACATACTTCCATTTCTGATTATGGAGGCTGTGAGCTGATTGAAAGAAGGGCAACATGTATTCAAAGTGAAAGTGGGTGCCTTCCACGGGGCCATCGCCGTTGGGAAGCATGCTGGACTCCCTTCTACCCCAGGAGGACTAGTGAGCAGCCAGGCTTTGATCTGCACTCCAGTCCCTGATTGTGGACTCAGCCCTAAGCTCAGGACACTGAATATCCTCAGCTCCTGCCCGTGGCCTTGGTCTGCTCTCTAAGGCTCCTGGTTTTCCTGCAAGGTCGGGAGCAACAAGACTGGGCTCCAGTTTTTGTCCTTTCTGATCCCTGGGTTTGCCTGGAACAACGTAAGTGTTGCCCAATTAAACCTTCTATGACACCTGCCCTCCCCCGCCACCCAGCACACACACTGTACACATATCCACTGTGCCCTTTTTCCTTCTGCCTTTTTTGTAGCTCCAGGTAAATATTGATTTGCCCCCAGTTTACCTCCTCCCTGACCGGCCATTTGCAGGCTAAGGAACCAGCCTCTGTAGGGACTTTTCCGGGCCCATTCACCCCCCTTTCTTCCTTCAAGTGGCATTGTAAAATTCACAGTGACAAAGAGACAGGGTAGGGTTTGGGGCCCCAGTTCCTGAGGACTTGAGGGCTGTTTTACATACGGGTCAGACGCGGCTGGAGGCCAAGGTCAAGTTGAAAGTTGCAGTCTAGCCAGCGTGAGAACTGCCATGCAAGCCTTGAGACCCAAGCAGCTGCAAAAGGCCCACCACCCACCTCCCTTCCCTCACTCTTAACTTCTTTTTTCTTTGGAATTCCTGTTTCTGTCTCCGTTTGGTTACCCAGCATTTTTTGCTGCCTTCGTGGACTTTTTGGGGCGGTGTTTACAGACTCTTCTTCTCTGCCTCCACCCTGCTCTCTTGGCCCAGGCTTTGAGCCTCTTCTGACTTCCAGCCAGACCCGGAAAAACGAAAACACAGCTCTGTGAGCCCCCACCAGCCGGCGCCTGTGCCAGCTCACCTCTGGCCATGGCATAGCTGCTGGTGCACAAAGCGGCCAAAGCCAGCTCCACATTCCTCCCTTCCTCTCCCCATTTCATCTGAGACTGAGCCCTGAAGCAGAGAAAGGGGCCCAGGTCTGCACAGTGGCCAAGTCAACGGGGTCCCTCTTCACCAAAAATGGTGAGATGAGATTTCATCTTGTCCGCTAAGGAGCTACAGCAGGTTTGTCTGGAAGGGACGGCGCTGGGGGAAGGCTTTGGGTTGCATCTCAAATTAGGTTTTGCTCCCTAAACTTAGCAGCTCTGCTAAGGAAGGGCTTCAGGCTTGAATTGTTTATTGAACTTTGTGGTGGATCGTTAGCGACAAAGTTACCTAGATATTTTCTTAGTTTCTTAGATCTCCCATCAGCAGCATTTACAAACTCTCAAGACGTGGTTACTTAGAGAGAAGCAGCCTTCTTTTTCTCTTCTTGTCTTGGATCTCAATATACACCAAAATGGTTTTTCTACCAGGCCAGTCAACGGCTTCTTGACATGCCTCCACTGTTTTTTCTTCTTAAAGTCTGCAGGTCTTGTTAGATACTGAGTTGTAGCCACTAACTCGTGGGATAGTTTATAGAATTTGAATAAGCTCTGTGAATAATTTTGGGTCTCAGTTTCTAGAATTTCTATTCGCTTTGAAGAAAGAATATCTTTCTCCCTACTTCTTGTCCTTTGCCGAGGGACATAAGAGATTCGTGAATGGTTCCTAATACTGTTTCTTAGCCTCTTAGTCCTCCAGGCAACCATCAAGCAAGCTTGCTGTGGAAAAAGAAAGGTTGGAAGGCAAGCACAGACTCTCCCAGTGCTGTTCCTTTTTTCCCAAAGGCAGGGTCAAGACTCACTTGCCTTCTTAGCTAGTTGGGTCAGACCCTCTGAACTGTCTCTCCGCTTTTGTCTACCAAATTCAGGAATTCCTATGGGATCGAAGACAGGTGCCATCAGCTTGAATCCTGGTGATGATAATTTTATCCTCAGACCCTTTGTGGACTAGGCTGGGGAAGCCAGGATGCCCACTGGGATCTGCAGGCTGCCGTGGCTGTGGCCCCTTGAGCAAGAGGGCAGCAGGGATGGAGGTGGGCTCTGTCTGGTGCTCTCTGATTTCTCCTGGAGGATCCCAAAGCGGGTAGCTTGGGCAAGATTGGAGGATGGCAGCCCAGTGGCTTGGCCTTTGTTCTACGAGCTGCCAGAACCTCTCTCTCCAGATCCTTGGCAGTCATGACTTCTTTCCTCCTAGGGCACACCAGAGTGCCCTGCAGGGCTTTGGCTACCCGGGAGCCTCCCGCTGAAGAAAGAGACCTTGGCTGGGTGTTCTTGGGTATGGGACTTGCTGCCAGCCTGGACCTCAGGGCTCTGGGCTTCCAGAGTTGGAAGAAAAAAGGACAAAGGGAAACCAGGTTTTAATCGAGTTTGATTTTCACTAGCAAATGAAATTTACCTGCTCTCACTTTAACTCGGAGGAGGCTGTCAGCACTGCTCCCTGGCACTATTTCTTGCATCCATCCAGCATTAGGATAAACATTCCTGGGTTGGTTTTAAAGACACTTTGTATTTCAGGATATTCATGTGTTTCTAATGTATCCAAGCAGCTTTACGAGCTGCATTTGCAGAACATCTTAACCCTCTCTATCCCACTGCAAGAGGGGTGGTCACAGAGATAATGGCAAAGGAAGAAAGATGGGGTGGGGGTGGGGAGGAGATGGCTGAGGAGCTGAGGCTAGCTAAGAGAGAAAGAGAAAGAAAGAAAGAAAGAAAGAGAGAGAGGGAGGTAGGGAGGGAGGAAGAAAGAAAGAAAGGGAAAAACACCCGAACAAAAAAGCACATCTGAATATACAGTCCACCAGACCATATGGGAAAGACAAGTAGGGAACCACTTTGTTCATGGTAGGCTTTGCAAGTTTCTCCACCCCTATCTGCACCAGGGTGGAAGTTATACTCTTCTTTTTTCTTGTTTTTTTTTTTAAGGAGAAAGGGTAGATAATAAAGAAACTTGGGGCAAAGCTGTTCAGTAGGCAGGGAAATGGCACATCCTGAGTCCCTTGCTCAAGCTTTCATTCTAGATTTTTGTGCATTTGAAACATTAATGAGGCAGCAAAAAGCCCAAGGCTGTAAGGACAACAATTTGGGGCCATGGGAACTCATGTGGCATTATGGTGTCCAAATGCTCACACAATGAAAATGGGAGAAAGTGCAAAATCCAAAAAGAACCATGGATATCCCACCTTGCCTTTCAGATCCCCTCATTCCATGAGTTTGAAGAGAGCAAGTTTTGGAGAACCAGCTTTCCTGTTGCCTGGTGGGTTCCTTCCAGTACCAGGCTTTCAAGGCCACCAGTGCACAGAGCTTCAGAAAGGACCAGGGAAGCCCAGAGAGGACCCTGTTTCCCTGAAGTTTCTTCCAGAGAAGACTCTCAGTAGGGAGAGGGGTCTCCCTGCTCCATTAAGAACAAGCAGCCCTGGAGTGCAGGCTCCCTTGAGGAGCAAGCCCTCTGCAGTCCCAGCCAGCAGCACCCAGACTCCCCAGGGTTGACAGAACCTTGGAGTGAGAGGTGCATTCCCGCCTCTGAGACCCACTGCTCTCGGGTTTGGGGAGGCCTGGGTGACCCCGCTAGTGGTGCTAGGGTTGGTGATGGGACTTCTGCCTGCCCTGACGGTTCTGCTGCTGCTCTGCTCTTGACTGAACCTGGAAACTCAGTGTTCGCTT